GATACTTCTTCTTGGAGCATTACTTCTACTATGCATATGTGGAGTTTCTGCGCAAGGGCGCCCTCCGGCTTCCAGTATGAATTAAACATTACGTGTGTACTCAGTAATGCTCACAACACCCTATTTTGGGTAAAAATAGGAAAGATAATACTTTTCTCTAAAGAAACAGGATTCCCTAAATTATCGTTATCGCAATAAATATCAGAAATTATCGTGATATATTTTTAAGCCCATATCGCCCATCCCTACTTCCAACTAATTATAAGATACGAAATAACCTCCTTGCAAATGAATGTTAACCGCTTGACCTCAAGAGTACGTGCCTCTTCTCTGCTTTCCCTCTCTAAAATGAACACTCGCCAAATATGAGTAAAAATTTACTTTGGTGCATAAATAAAACAGAGTCAATATGTGGTTTAAGTCAGACTGTAAGAATGAAAGTCTAAACCCAAATTTAAATCAAATCAAAGACATACCCATAAAGTCCATGAAAGAAGTAATCTGAGAACTTTTCCCTAACTGGAAAATGTACCATCATATGTTATCTAGGGTTTCCATTATTCCAGGACTCCACAATGGAAACATATATTTATATTTATGCATTTGGCAGAACCTTTGATTTAAAGCAATTAAGCAACATATGTGAACAATTTCACAGTATTTTGACAGGTGTGAGTAAGGCTGCATGATATTAAATATACAAAAATAAATATGAATTATTAAGGGAAAGAAATCTAACTGCAGTTTCTATTTATTTATTTGATTTAATTTATTTATTGGAATAAAAATTGCAACTCAGATTTAAAATATGATTTCAAAAAAAATATCAATATGACTGCTATTATTATTATTATTACTACTACGACAACTATTATTACATTTTTAATATATTAAACATGTTGCACTGTAAAATAAAAAATACAAATATTAATAATTGTAGTTTACAGTACAGCTGCCTTAATTTATTTTATTTTTCACATTTTTCAATAAACTAGGGCTTCTATTTTGACTGAAAACCACATGGAAAATTTTAAAGCCTTTTTTGTTGAACAACTAAGTATGTTCTTTTATTTATTTATATATGTATTTAAATTGCAGTCTTTTTGATTTGATAAATAAATTTTAAAAAGTAATTTAGCTGTTTTGTTAAAATAATTATAAACAGTATTCTTTTCCCTCTCTTTTTGGCAAAATAGGATATGCTTTTGGTAAAAAAAAAATTATAAAAATAATATTCCATTGTACATTTATTATAATTAAATAAATATAAATATTTTGTATAAATATTAAAATGTAAAATATGCAAATGTATATAGTATATTGTATCTATTTTTGTATATTTAATATATTTTTTACATATTTTAGTGTCACTCCCACATGCCAAAATAATGTAAATGTGAAAATGTCATTTTGTTCCCTGTAGGTATCCAAAACCCCGCTGTACCCCTCCCTAAACCTCTTCCTCAGATAAAAAATCAGAGTTTGTCTCCTAACAGTGAGATACAGGTTATCACTGCCAAACTTTACCGCTTTATCCACACACAGGGACCAGACTTACACCCGTCCCCTTGTAAATAGTCTTATCTGCTAAGCAAAAGTTAGCTCAGCACCGTGCTCTGAATTAAGATGGGCGATGGTGACAGGATCTCTGCCATGTGTAGAACTGAGAAAATACAACTGGGCCTTGTTTGGGAGAGCTCAATGTTTGCATATCGAGACCGAAACAACATGAAAGGATCCATTTTGCCACTCAGTACCATGGCAGTTTCTGACCTAGTTTCCCAAAGCCAACGCGCCCCATGTTAAGACGATCGAAATCTGCCGGTTAAAATGTCTGTGTGGGATTCTCCATTTAAAAAATACATGGTAAACTCCCACCGCAGGGCGAACGTGCGATGTCAATGTCAGTTTACGTTCACACCATCAAACACTTCCTGCTGTGTTTCCAAGGTGTGACATCATTCTCACCTACTTAAACTTTGCATGCCTAGACTCATCTGTTGCCCTCAGAGAAGAGTGAATGTCACAAGACAGACAGTCGGCTTTAATTAAACCCAGAGGGAAATGTATTAATTACTGCACAGCGCCTGTGACTGCGGGTGAGGTGTCTTGGGTCTGCATATGATTAGAATGCTGATTATGATGTACTGTGGAGGACTCCATCATACTCAACTGTCCTAATCACTCATTCATATATTTAACACAAGCTGATTCTAGTTTTGCTTTAATGGCTTTAGTACTATTACTATTACTATCACAATTTAAAAAGTGCTACATTCACAGTTCAAAACTTCAAACTGATTTGTTCTATTTATTCAAAACCTGCTTCCATAAGCATAAAACTTTCCTTTCACACAACAATTATGTCCAATCATAAGATTACTGTAACGGGTAATGAGAGCATTTGATTTAATCACCCAAAAAATGATGATCTGTAAATTTAGTCATTTTCACAATCATTTAGTTCAATAGCAAATTATGCAAGATCAAATTACCTTTAGAAATGCTGAATGTAGAAATCACAATACTTAATATAAATCAAATAGTATATAATTATAATAATAATAAAACTATAAATATATAATTATAATTATACATATATATATATATATATAGAGAGAGAGAGAGAGATTTATTTTTTATATTTATTAATTTATATTAATAAAAAAATTTTAATTGCAAATTAAATATAAAAATAGTAAATATAATAAAATAATAAAAATAAATGATAATATTTTTTATGATACAGATTTAGATTACAGTAGATGACGAGAAAAGGTACTTTGTGATTTTGTGTGACAAGCATTATGCATTTTTTGATGATCTTCCTGGAGTTCTGAAAGTGAACGTTTTTGAAAGTGCTGAAAATCTATCGCTTTCTTGAGAAAATAGTACCAAAGGGTTTTTTTATTTTATTTAGATCTGTTAATTATAAATAGTTTTTAACACTTTTTAAATTTATTATATATTATTAAATATAACTTTATATTATTTATATTATATTATTTGACATTATATTATATAATGCACAAACTGCATTTTTTTGATGATCTTCCTGGAGTTCTGAAAGTGAACGTTTTTGAAAGTGCTGAAAATCTATCGCTTTCTTGAGAAAATAGTACCAAAGGGTTTTTTTATTTTATTTAGATCTGTTAATTATAAATAGTTTTTAACACTTTTTAAATGTATTATATATTATTAAATATAACTTTATATTATTTATATTATATTATTTGACATTATATTATATAATGCACGCAATTATTATTTTATTGCAAATGTACTGCTACATTTGTGGATGTCTACTCATAAAGATTAAGGACAGCCGGCCATCTCTGTAAATTCTTATTCCTCTGGTAGTCTTTGACCTTCCGTTCAAACTGGTGTAGATTATAGTGCTTGGATCACATTCCCCCTGAGATATGCTTTTCACAAACCTCTCTTATCCCGGTCCCCTGTGTTTTACTTCATCGCTGAGAACCTTACCTAATTTTTATCTCTTTCATTGTGTCATCGGCATCCTATCTCTCCTCACATCGAAGTTCTTGCGATCCATCTGTCTCTTTCACTGATTTACCACCGGTGTCTGCCTAATCCAATTACTAGTTCTGCACTTTCTTGCCTCCCTCTGCTTGTTTTGATCTAGTTTCAACAATGGCTCTCAATAAAAGACCCTTCCCAGCAGGCCATGCACATCTCTCTGACACTTCCCGTTCGGGATGGGCTACGTTTCAAAGAACTCATTGATTGTCGGGATTGATTCGTTTCAGGCGGGGCCAAACTCCTAATCACTTCTGTTTCATCGGTTGACACGGACAGAATAAGACATCGAGAGACGAGACCTGCTGATGCGTGCTTATAGATCAGACTCTTTACCTTTCTTATTGCACCTGCTTGTTCTGACTGGACACCGTTGATTTGCATGTGACCACATGTAGTGATTGCATCCGTGCCAGGGGAATTCTATTCATTCCCTGCAGCAACCCATCGACAAAATTTGAATATGGCTACATGTTCCCAGTAGTTCCTGATTTGGTGATATCAACACATTTTATGTGTGAAACGTTCTCCAAATTTGTATATATCAACAAATAAAACAAGAAAAAAATAAAGAGCATGCTGCAATGCGGGATGTCATTCCAGCTGCCAGAAGGAAGGTATACAAGATGGATGGGTTTTTTATGGGTGATTATTATTATTATTATAATTATTACTACTACTCCTTTTTTATTTTATTTTTTATAATATTTATATAATGATTATATAATAATATTGATAATATTGATATATAATAAGCTTATACTAATTTGCAAAGTGTGCAAAGGTAATAATAATAATAATAATAATAAATTGTATTATTATTATTATTATTTAAAACAATAATAAAATATTATATATATTTTTAAAAACAATAAATACACATATTATTTTGATTTTTCTTTAGATTACAGTGTAGCAAAAGTTAAGTATTAAATCTGCATTTTTGTAGTTTTGTGAAAACGTACCATTTGCAAATAGTACAAAAGAAAATGTTTTTATTAGATCTGTTGATTGTTATTTTCTTCACTTAATCTGCACATTTTTTACTTTATTTTTAATAAAATAAATTATTATAATAAAAATCATTATTATTGTCATAATATCAATAATAGGATATTAAATAATATTTTTGTATTATTATTATTATTATTATATTGACAAGGTTGTCGGTAGATTTTATGAAATACAAACGCATGTGCTGATAACAACACATCTTACACTTGAAACTTTTCCCAAAAAAACATTTCCCCAATTTTTTTTTTTTTTTTACAAAAATACAAGTAAAACCAAAAAGAAAGAAATAAACAGCATGCTGCGATGGGGGCCGTCCTTCCAGCTGTCACTCTGATGAGGCCAGTAGGAGGCCATCTGAGATGGACAGGTCCACGGTGTGAAACGGTTTGCGACACAGTGTGAAATAAACTGGCAGAATAAGAATGGGCAATGCTGGGCAGACTTACCGCGCAGGAGATCAGAGGTGGAGTGTGGCGAGGCGTGAGCGCGGAACAGCTGCCAATCAAAATCATCCTCCTCCCCTTGGCTGAACTCGCACAGGCTGGGGTCGGAGTCCTCATCAAACGTGCAGCCTGCTGCAGAGAAGCAAAACAACTTATCGGTCTTGATGCAAGTCCATGACTTCCTCTCATTAAAAACCTTAAACGGCCTGGGATACGTGCTTCCTGCTTAACCTGACAAGTCTCTGTACATGAATTATTAAAAGCATCTGGTTGTATATTTAAAAGCCTCCGGGGCAATAACATTTCATTTGGACAACATTTGATCCACAATTTGTTGACACTAAAATGTGCATTACAATACGACTCCTCAACCCTCTGGGGAGGTTAATGTGGCTGCAGGCAGACGTACGAGGACCCCCTGGCCCGGCAGCCTAATTAAGCAAACGTGTGTTATTTGGGGCTCTGTTTCATCATGCAAACCCCTGTGATCTGATTTCTGTTTGTGCAGAGTGAGAAGTGCCAGACTGCACACCCACATATACATTATTTCCAACACCGGCTCTTTAGCCAGACAGCATTCGCCAAAGCAATCATGCCTCTTTGCAAGACACACCGCTCTCACGCACGACATCTCCAAGGACACACACATCCCCATCACCTCCACCAATCAATCATCAATACTGCCTGAAGATTTACAACACAAACACTGCAACAGACCAATTTATCAGCAACGTCCAATTACAATGTGGAAGATAACTGGGCATGCTTAATAGTTGCGAATACACTGCCAGCCTTGTCATTACTACTTATTACTAAAATTATTTTAATAAAAATATTTTATGAACTATTTATTTACTCATTCATTCATTCACAGTACATAAATTGATACTTTGAATTGAATAGAATAACAAAAAAATTATACTAACAATGATATGGACAAACTTAAAAATTATATCAGTAGTTGTTGCAATTATTAAATATTAACAGATATGTACACAATTATTAACAGACACAATAATAATAATAATAATAATAATAATAATAATAATAATAATAATAATAATAATAAAAATAATAATAATTAGTTGTAAAATCTACTGTCAGCCTTATTAGTATTAATCATAATTAAATTTTTTATAAAGGTATTCTAAATTACTTTTTATTTTGTGCTTTTTACTTTCTTTTAATTTTTAATATATGTACTACTACTACTACTACTAATTAGAATAATAACAATAAATATGGGATGTGAAATAAATACTGTTAACATTGACACGGCTGTCAGTAGATGTTGCCGTAGTAATCAGCAAAGCAGGAACAGTTATAATTTTAGTAATAATATCAAAGTTATTTAAAGGGGTCATATGATGCTATTTTAAAGATAATAATTTTGTGTATTTGGTGTAACAGAATATGTTGACACGCTTTAATGTTCATTATTGTAGGTCCTCTATGTCCCGCCTCTCAAACGCGTCGTTTTCAACAAAGCCCCCTCCTTTGACAAGCGCAGTCT